TCATCAAGCCTTTGTATAAATCCTTCCTGAAGAGTAGTAATATCACATTGTTATATAACTCCAGAATTTTAAATATTTCGTACAAATTATACAATATTTTATCATTTTCAGAAACTTTTTGAAAAATCCAAGCCAATAATGCTTGTGAACAAAAGTATGTAACGAAAAGATATACTGTACTTTGGCTTGTAGCTTATTATAGAATAAGATTGTGGGACACATTGTTACCAACCTTAAAGAAATGATCTCTAGTTTTACAAGCTACAACAGTAGAAATGGTAATAGGTAACCACCATCGAGTCAAAGGTGATGGGCAACCATAAATCGAAATGATCCGATTAGAATGTTCATCATAATGAGGAAGGTGCGTGGTAATAATGGAGCGCAAATGGGTATAAAGGGCCAACAAAGATGACGGTGAATCCGGAACCTTCATATTTTCTATATGTTGTTTGATCATTATTTTTGAATAATTATCACTTATGGCTTAAAACTATAACTTTATAATAACTGCATTTCTCACCAAAAAGGTTATTGACGTTTGGCATATCCCCTTTTTCAATATCGATTCCTGTAGCTTGATTTAAAATTCTCTCAATACACACAACACAATTAGTTAATTGTTTTGCAATAACATCACCAAAGTTAACATCCATATGTCCTTCGTTGGTCATCTCGTCTATCTCCTTTGTTACTTTTTTGAAATCCAACCCTTCGTTTATTAATAATCCGATACATGCTGCTTGATACTCCATGAGAGAGGCAAGGACCAATTTCTTATAACGGATTTCGTATCGGACCAAAGATGAAACAGAATGGGATGGAACAATCAAAAAACGCGTATGCATATATCTAGGGAAAAGGTTGATCATACCATCTAAGGAAAATAATTGCCTCACAGATAGAGAATTATCTGGTAGAACATTTTGATATTGTCTACGAATTGTGTTGAATATAGTTCCTGATAAAGAATACAAGCGTAAAGGCATAGCTAAAATAATAAAAAAAAAAAAAGATTAAATTTTACCATGAATATTAATGTATTAAGCAAAACAATTTCAGTACACTTAAGGTTGCTTGTCTAAACCGTATTTGGATTTGGCAAAACCTTTAGTTTTACGGAATTTTTTTTTAATAGAAATACAATCACTAGTGTTATAAATATTGTATAAAGTGTATTGATAGTGTAGCGGGTAAATTATAAGGTATGATGGATTTATGAAATTGAATAGGATTAAGTTTGCCATTTCCAGGTTTATTAATAGAAATTTCTCTAGGTTTATTTTTTTTTACCCTTTAGAAACCTCTAAGGTTTACCCAGCACCTTAAATATACTACAAATTAATAATATAAATCAAAGTCACTTTGAAAGAGATGAATCCAGCTCCAAAGTTTGTTTTCTTCCAGCTCTCTCCAATAATAAATATCATCCAATAATGGAAGAGTTGATACCAAAAAACTTTCCAACATCTTTCCGTATATTGATATGGTCACTTTTGAAAGAAACAAACATTCTAAATAGGAAATTCCTCTTTCTAATTCCTCGTTTTCCTCATTTTCCCATAAGGGTGGCACTTCACTCGTAGCACTCTTACAATTTCCATGAAGGCTTTTTTCCACCATATCCAATTGATTCAGAATTAAATTCATCTTTGGAATGTTACCATTATCAAGTTGGATAGAGTTAATTGCTTTTCTTAAAACTTCTGCGCGTTCAGTTAAAATATCTGAATTAACGTTATAAGTGGAAGAGGCTTGAGCTCTTGCAGAATCTACCTCGGAGATACTTGAACGCCGAAGACGAATGAAAACATTTTCATTAACAAATTTAGACTCCAAAGACTGAAAGAGATTATCTAAGTCTTTCTGTATTTCTCGAACTCGTTCTTGAACGAAACTCATCTTTTGATCCTCAAATGAAAATGAGCTTCAATTATAAAATTTTTTGATAGTGACACAATCTGCATTTACTGTAATACATCAACATTTTAGAATGTTTATATTCAAGTTCTAGGCATTAAATTGCGTTTCCTTCTTAAAAAAAAAAAAAAAGAAAAAAAGAAAAAAAAAAATTAAAATTGTTTTGGTCGTTGTTCAATAATAAAATATTAAGAACACGGGAGTTTCCGAACATCTTTGTCAAGATAAATTACATGTAGTCAAGACCCAATAAATATTTACAATCTAGAACGAAAATTCAGCATTACAGGAATTAACCAGAATGTGGAAGGCAACAACAGTTTCGGTCCAAGCTGGTTCAACCTCGTCCATTAATGATCCAAATAATGAACGGAATATCCAGCATCAAGAAGAAGAGGAGGAAGAAGAAGAGGAAGAACTTGTACAAGAAAGTGGTGGACCATATCAAGGGGAATTCTATGGTAAGTTTTTTTTTCTTTTATATTATAAATATATTGAATTTGTACATTATTGAGAGAAATGCTACCGAGTTTCCGTCTTTGCAAACGACGCATTATATGTTAAATCTTTGCAAATTAATTTTATATGCTTACCCTACTTCTTCGAGTGCATTAGTTAAATTTTTGATTTGAGTAAATTAGTTTCTTCATTAATGTTAAATTAAAAAGTTTTAGAGTCCTTTTGAATTGAACCTTATGATCGATCCCATGTCAAAATGTTTATCGAAAGAAAATGAATGGTTAATATGAGATATATGCGTTAATAATAAATCATGAATAAGAGTTAAGACATGAGCTCGATTAGATCAATGATGTACTCTTAAAATCCAGAGATATTATGAACCTAAGATAGATGGATATTTAGATTTTAATTTAAGATGCTCAAACTGATACTTAATTTCGAAAAAAAATCGTTATCTATTTTTACGAATAACAAGAATCTGATACTTCCAACGATACTGGTACAGAATCTATGACTTGGATTTCGTGGTTCTGTTCCCTTTCCGGTCATGAATACTTTGCTGAAATAGCTGATGATTTCATAGAGGATGATTTTAATTTAACCGGCTTAAATTCGACAGTCCCGTTTTATAAAGAAGCATTAGAGATGATATTGGATGTTGAACCTGGTAAGTATTGCAAAGTACGGCCTGAATTATGTTTATTAACTTGGAGAACGATTTGGTATATGCATTCATCTTTTCTAATTTTCGATCGGGTATATCACATATTATTTGCAATTTTGTATTATAAATATATCAAAAGTCAATTTAATTAATGAATTCTAATGCTGGTCTCTATTTTTTTTAGAAGAGGAAAGTTTGAAAGTACCAGACGTCTCTCTTGTCGAAAATTCTGCGGAAGTGTTATATGGTATGATACATCAACGTTATATATTGACGCGTCAAGGATTACAACAAATGGTAGGAGATTATCTGATTATATTCATTATTCTTTTTTGAAATTTATATATCACCAGATTGATTAATTACCTCTTTCATTTATACTAATAGGTTGATAAATATGAAAGCAATCATTTTGGTCATTGTCCAAGAGTATACTGTCATGCAACTGCAGTTGTTCCTTGTGGACAAAGCGATGTTCCCGGTTTAGAAACCGTAAAGCTTTTTTGTCCAAATTGTTTAGATATATATACACCTCCTAGTTCAAGATATCAAAATATTGATGGTAAGGTAATTAATTATTTTGTATAAAACCATATTTTTAATACTCTTAAATTAATTACCTTTTTTTTTTTATTATTATTATATTTATAGGAGCTTATTTCGGTACAACATTTCCTCATCTCCTATTTCAACAATTTCCGGAATTGTTCCCAAATAATCAAACAAGAATATATGAACCAAAGATCTTTGGGTTTAAAGTAAACGAAAGGAGTCGAAGTGGGCCTAGGATGCAATGGTTAAGGATGCGTCCTAATGATGTAAATAGTGACGAAGATGGTGATGATGGTGAAGATGTTGAAGGCGAAAATGATGATGGTGAGGATGACGAGTCATTATTGGATCAGGGTGGAGGTGAAAATAATGGTGCACCTGAAACCACAACTCAAAGTGGTGTATATGAGACTGAAATAATTCGTTCATATAAACTTGGTCAAAAGAGTAATGGAGGAAATAATGAAATGTTGGGTATGTGCGCAGTTAAAGCAAAGCCACAAACTCTCAAGTCGTTTGTTCTCGTCAGAGATCAATCCACACGAGAATTAGAATCTGTTGCGACCTCGCAAGATGGAAATTTCGGAATGTCTACTTTATCGAACTTGCATCCTTTATTAACCACTCCCGATATTCCTATTATATCTACGCAATCCATAAAAATGAGCAATTCTACTACCGTACCACCATTGTTATCATCACCGTCATCATCATCATCGTCCTTATCATTACAAACGTTAAATGATACGTTACCAACAACAGAATCCAACATCGATCAATCCTATATCAATACAATAAATCTTAATAAATGTGAAAGGGATGCATTAAATTCAGTATCACTAGCAGTATTGGGTAAGGATCATAATATATTGTTGGACTATGATGGTTGAATCTGATAAGGGTAGAATTATTTAATTGGTAGATTTGGCTCAGCGAACGTAAGGGAAATGGAAAAAGACTTCTGACAAGTGGACGTTGAAATTAATATTGGTAATTAATCGGACCAGTTTTAATAGAAGTAAATTAATAAATAGGCTTCATGAAACATTTTATTATTTAATTGTCATGTTCATTGGTTTGAGAATTAATGGTCATAATAGAAATGATAAACTTCCTTTGAAGAAAAAAAAAAAAAAAAAAATCGTGTAAAAAAAAAAAAATTTAAACAAAACGAACCAGAAAAAAAAAAAAATTATTATTATTTATTATATTACATCTTATATCCAATCAATCTATTGAATTTTTTTTTTTTTTTTTTTTTTTTTGCTAATAAAATTGATTCTTATTTTCTAAATTTCATTAAAGGTTTATAATGAAAAAATTATTACAATGAAAAAAAACTTTATTGTAGTTGCAAAAGTCTGTCTTTAAATAATTGTTCGTTATAATCGTATTATTCATTTTACCAATCAAGAATTTCTTTTCCTTTACCATGATCCTGCTCATCATCTTGTATTATATTAATAGCTTTGTTCAACCATTGAGGAAAGAATATACATGTCGATGGAGATATTTCACCATTTTCTGTACATTCATTTTCAAAAAACTAAAGAAAACGAGAAATTAATTTTTTGCAAAGTTCGTGGAATGTTTAACACATATCGGATTTTTTATTGCATTTTATTTTTGAAGTTATCAGATTAAAATGCAAAAAAAAAAAATTTCTCAGAACCTGATAATTCTTGAAATCATCCCATAAATAATTAATACTCACCGGACATCTTCCACATGGGGCTTGGGTCCAAGCATTATTCATATTTCTAGCTTTTTTAGCTATATACACAAATTGGGTATCAGGACGATTGACGTCAGTTACCATCGAATTTGGATCTATATTACTCATAAATTTTTTTATAATTTTCCCTTCAAATATAAGCACATCAAGGATCTGTCTTATATCGGCTTCTTCAATTTCGATTTCTGTGACTTTTGTTTCTTGTACACATTGTACAATCTTTGATAAGGTTACATATCCAGTATAATTGGGATAAAAAATTGCATCCTCATCCATCCCCCTGGGAAAGCTCTAATATAAAAATCTTGTAAGATTCACCATAAATTAGTTCATAAAGAACGACTTCTTGTACATACTCTGTGATAAATAAAATTATAACATATTGACTTTAAAGTTTCCACGACAAATGTATCCGGTTCTCCGTTTGTATATATTAATCTACTTAATGATTCATCATGAGGTTTAGTATCAAATAGCATATACAGCTTCTTAGTCTAGCCATGTGGAGAGAAAAAACGCGTTAAATTCAATAAAATTCTTCATAATATACACAAATGCACACGTATATGTTACCTTTGGTTTAACTTCTTTAATTAATTTTTGATCTTGCATGTTTTTCAAACTACCTTCTACCAAAGACTGTACCAATTTTGTTTGCTTTTGAATGTCAGTTTTTGAGATACCTGAGAATATTTAATTAAATAAATGAATTATTTGATCAATTTAATTTTTAAAAAAGCATTACCTTTGCGTTCTGAATTCTCAATAAGTTCATAAACCTCAAATTCATGATTTTCGAGCGATTGAAGTCTTTAAAATCATAATTATCAATTAATCGCTGAAAAAACGCGAATTTTAATAATGTTTAAAATAAACTACTTTGCCGCTGTTTCTTTAGAACGTGCTTGATACATATATCTTTCATCGTGAGTTTGTCGTTTTCTTACTAACCCCTAAATATCAAGAACATTTTATTAATAAATGTATATAATCTATAATTAGATAAAAATAAATTCAATTACTTACAACTTCATATAAATTGAGTAAAATATCTTGAAATACTTCCCATGAAGTATCAGGTAACGTTTCTTGAATCAATTCATGAATTTTAATTTCATCAACAAATACCTATTAAGAAAAATGAATTCAAAATTTGAAAAAACTGTTTCTTTTGTCTCCTTCACTTTTTTTTTTTTTACTAAGGAAAGTGGTCAGTAAAAAAGAAAAACTCACTTGTCCGCGAGAATTTATAACATCCCATACCATCCAATCATCCTCAGTAACTTCCGATTTTGTCATTTTATATTGAAGAAAAGTTAAAAATTCATTATTTATATAAAGGTTACGATCGAATTTATATTTTTTTTAATTGATTGCCATAATGGACAAACATTACTAATAATGGTGATCATTAAAAAAACTTTTTTTATTATTTTAAATTTTATATCACGTGACAATAAATAAATATGCTTTTCTATTATGACTAAATTTAATATACAATTCTAGTCAAAATGTTCGCCCTGTTCGAACTCACGCTTTCATAAATCTTTCTTATATCATGTTCGTCCACAGAAGAAATATCAGCCATCATATAAGCAATATCACCTCGTGAATCTGTATATTGTTTCTCAACGTTGTGATCGGCAAGAATTTCATTGATTTCCTATAAAAAAAGAAACCATGTCAACAATAAATGATAACTGGGAAAAAAATATTTATTTAAATTACCTTAAGTACACCGGGCACATTGTGATGGCAAAAAAGTAAACGTATCGAATTCTCTGTAGCCTGAATAGCACGAAGGTCAACCTCTGGAAAGTTGACAGCACCATTTGAAGTACCATAGCTAATGTATTTCACAAGCGCAGCTCCCACTTCTAGACCAATCATATATTGTGCCTCCTCGGTTGAACCGCCTTTTGGAGTTTAAAAATATTTTTTAAGTAATGAATTAATATAGATCGAGATCTATTATAAAAATAACTGACCAATATGAGGTGTCAAGATCACATTTTTGCAAGCCAAAAGGTCAGATGTCCAAGAATTCATTTCATCATTAAAATTTTGACCGTTGGATGCTGGTTCCTTTGGAAATACGTCAATTGCAGCACCTAACAAATGACCACTTTGCAAGGCTTTGATTAATGAAGGAATCTGGACAATTTTACCACGAGAAGCATTTATTAGATAGCTTCCTTTCTTCATACGTGTAATCTCTTCCTCGCCAATCATATATCTAGTTTCTTCTGTCTCAGGAACATGCAAAGTTATAAAATCTGAACGTTCTAATAGTTCATACAACGTATTAACTTGTTTAGCAGTCCCTAAAGGCATAATCTGAACGATATCATGGAAATATACCGTCATTCCCATGGCTTCGGCAAGAACCGATAATTGTGATCCAATATGACCGTATCCTACAATACCTATAAAAATGATTTCACAAAATTGTTGATAGTATCGTTTTAAATGTTAGATAAAAAAAACAATTATATATGCAGGATAAGCATAAACTAACCGAGAGTCTTTCCACGAATTTCATAGCATTGTGAAGAAACTTTGTTCCACATTCCTTGATGTAATTCTATATTACGATCACCTAAATGTCTAGACAATGAAATAATCTCTGCAATAACTAATTCTGCAACACTTCTACTATTACTGAATGGAGAATTGAATACTGCGATACCCTGCTTAGCAGCAACTTCAAGATCGACTTGATTTGTTCCAATACAGAAACATCCAATCACCAAGAGCTTTTTGGCTTCTCGAAGTACTTTTTTAGTAAGCATGGTTTTGGAACGAATGCCAATCGCGTGAGCATCACGAATTTTCTCTATAAGAACCTCTTCCGAAAGTGCTTTTTTGTGGACTTCAACCTGTTATCGCGTATAAAGGTATAATTATGAATTAGAAAATATAAAACAGCTATTTAAGATTTTTTTTTAAAAAAAAAAAGGTCATTATCCTTACAACAAAAACTTACCTGAAATCCTTCTTTTGCCAGAAGATCTATACCACACTGGTTGACGTTCTCCAACAACAAAATTTTTATTTCACCTGAATTAAAAGGTTTAAGCACCTTAGGGTGAAACGCTGTAAAGGAAGAAGAGCGTGTCAAACTCGTAACGGGCGTTAAGGCTGCTTGTTCTTTTGACATTATGACTTTAATAAGTTTATTATTTTTCCGAGAAACATTAAATTTGAAAGTTTATATAAATTTTTAGTCATTGTTGTACAAATCTGATGAAAAAAATTTTTCGTATTAGATCCGAATTATCCGAATTACTAATACTCTTTATCATAAGGGAATTAAAGGAATTTGTGGGGTCAAGTGATCGACTTCATTCTAAATTAACTTAGTTGTTTGCTTAATAATCCCTTTCACGTGACAAAATTAACGTTTTCTTCTAAAAAGTTTCCTATACTCGGAATGAATTAATTCAGAACTTTATTTATTGATGATCAACCGCCATTAGCTTTATCTAATCCTAATAGACCTCCTTCTTTTGAATGGCATTCGATAAAACAAATATTTCTTATTACAATGAATTAATTATGTAAATTGGTTATAAAAAAATTTACGTTAAGTTATAAAATATATCAAATGCTATTTGAGATTAAGTCGATCCGATTACAAATCTTTTGGTTTAACAACCGAAATAGCGTCTTTGATCAGAATTTAATTAATTAAAGAAAAGATTATTATCAATAACACGTCAGTGTATAATAATGAATCGATATTCGAAATATTATCTTTCGGAAAAAATTTTAGTAATCAGAAAATAAGTTAATATTAAAAAATAAAAACATATGGTATACTTTCGGAAACTCTAATATAACCTCTGTACATTCCAGTTGTATTAAATGGCATAGCAACTATAGATAAGAAGAGAATAAATTAGAATCAAAACGTTGTCAATTTAATCCTCTTTTGAACTTAACTTACCATGACCATATTTATCTAACGCAATTACACCACCACCTCCTCCAACCTTTCTCATATTTTCTATAACAGCATTAGCTGCTTCATTTACATTCTCACCAAGGTAACGCATTCTGGAAGATACATCTTGAGCAATACCATATCTAATAAAAAACTTTAGTGACACAAGATAGATTAGAATTAATGTAAGATAAAAAATTTCCATTCCGAAATTTACCTCTCCATTACCGGTGCCACTAACACCACATGTTTCATTATCTGCCCAAGTGCCACATCCTATTAACGGAGTATCCCCAATTCGACCATCTTTTTTATTATTCATGCCACCTTTAATTGGATAATGATATTAGGATCGTATATAAAATTAATCATAGGATAAAAATTTCAATGTACCCGTAGAGGTAGCCGTAGCAATAATACCGTTTTTATCAACAGCAACGGCCCCAACAGTTCCCATAGGATATAGTGAATCCACTTCATTGTTACCCTTGTTCAACTCTTCCAAATGTTGTTGCCATCTTCCTTTTGTCCAAAAATAACCGGGATCAACAATTTCTAGTCCTTTCTTTTTAGCATATTCTTCAGCTTCTATACCACCAAGAAATACATGTGGATTCTCCGGATCAAGTAAAAGAGTTTTAGCTAAAGTGATTGGATTTTTTACTGTATGTAATAAAGTGCTTGCGCCAGCTGGGTGATCAGAAGTTCCGATCATAAATGAAGATTCAAGTTCATTCTATAGAATAATTAATGCCAGATGATGATAAGATCAAAAAAAAAAAAAAAAAAAAAAAGTCTTTAAATTTACCTTTCCGCCAATCGTAAAGACTGACCCTTTACCGGCGTTAAAAAGAGGACAATCTATTACAAGTAAAATTTATTAGAGTCTGATTTTTCAAGAAAAATTCTTTTTTTTTAAAAAAAAACTTAACCTTGCTTACGAACCTTCCATTACTCTAACTGCGACTTCTACGGCGTCCATCGAATTTCCTCCATTTAATAAGATTTTATAACCAGCAAATAAAGATTCTTTTAATGCATCAAGATATTCATTTTGTAATTTTTCAGAAAAATCTTTACGAGCAATGGTTCCTGCGCCACCATGAATCACTAAAGTTGGACCATAATTGTTCTCTTTACTCTATTATAAAAAAAAAAAATAAAAATAAAAAAAAAATAAAATAAAACGTTTCATAATTGGCAGAACACGTGATATTATTCTAAGATGAACTAACTGATCTAGAAGAGGATTTTTCGTTTTCATCACCATCACCTATGAGTAATGTATAGAAATCATTTAGAAATGAAAAGCATCCGACGTTTTTTGGCATTATTCTTGGTTTAAAAAAAAAAAATTTTGGAAAAAAAAATTCGTCAATTTATATAATAATTTATATCAAATGATTGATTAGTCTAAAAATTATCATAATGAAATCTTGAATATCATTATATTAATATAATTTAATCCAATTAAATTGCTGAAAAATAAGATATAAAAAAAATTATATAAGCCAATTTGCAATTTCAAATATAAAATCGCTTACAGAGTTTTATTTCTATACATCTGATGCGTGCGATAAAGTAACAATTAGTTAGGTATTAAGAGATCTACTGTCGGTTCGCATAATTTCGTAGCGAAATTTGGCATAATATGTGAAATTTTAACATATTGTATGTATCACAAACAAAAATATTTAAGCTTTAGTACTACACTGAAAATCCGTTTGGGAAATAGTATAACCCGAGTTTCCCACGTCTAAATAAAGTTCACTTTCATTAAATTGGTATACGCGTGATTTTATAGCCATTAAAAAGCTTGGTAAAATATATATATAAAAAAAAATCGAACAAATAAAACATTGCAAAAAGAACTTTATATAGATTTGAAATAATTTTTACTATTAAATGATAACTGTATTCTTCAATAATGTCGCCGCAAAGAATGCAAGCGATATACCGCAAAAATTGTTAGACAATCAGGGACTTGTACAACATATCTATCTGATAGTCATTTTACAAATAAGCATTCTCTTTATTTATTAATCAACAAATTAGTTCTTTGAATAAAATTTCCGGAAATTCATTATTTATAAGCGATTCTCCCAATAAATTTGTTAACTATCGGTGACATCTGGTTCAATCTCGCCTAAATGAAATTCTATTAGTTGGAAAAAACCATCAAATTAATTACATTACGTAATCATACTAACCTGTCAAAAACTCCACACATTTTTGACCTATCCATGTGCTATCATCATCATAATCTGCTGCCAACAAAAACTTTTGCGCAAGTTCAGGAGTAAAGATTCGTTTTTCCTGACGTGCTTTAATAATCTCTTTAACTACATCACTTACAAATTCTGGATGAGCCTGAATTGTAAGCACATGATCATCTTTAACCATCCCTTGAATGGCGCATACTTTAGTAAACCCAATATTTGAAAAGTTGGGAGGAATACTCGAAACATAATCCTTATAAAGAACATTATTAGAAGTTTTTATTTTTAAGAGTTTATGGAGAATTAAAATAATTTACCCGATGCATTTCTTGAAGACGCTTCGAAATTAGAGCAAATAATAAGTATAAAACTTAAACTGCAATCATTAATAATAAAATTTATTTTATAAATAATAAGAATTATACCAATGCTTTCCTATTTGTCTTGAAAAATTTCTTTCCGGTATCTGTTAAAGAAAATTCCGTAACTGCAACCTAAATCATTAAATTAAATTGTGAAAATTAAAGGAAAAAAAAAAAAAAGCATTTGATTTAAAATTCCATTTACCTCCCAACCTAAGGGGTTCACAATAACTTGACCACCCATCGCTCTGGCAATAATCTGATGTCCAAAGCAAATCCCAACAATCCTAATCTTTGGATATTCGTTTATAATTGAACCCATAAACTCAATTAAACGATTAATCCAAGGAAGATCTTCATATGCTGATGCAGCTTTAAAGTAGTTACATTACATTTAATGTGCTTGAGAAATAATAGTGAAGATAACATGAAACGAAATCATTGTATTATTTCTTCAAATCTTTCATACCAGACCCAGTAATAAGTATTCCATTGATTTCAAGTAATTCTTGTTTATTCGGATATTCCATTTTCGTCACATCAAAAGGTTGTATATCTAGACTAATTGGTTCCTTGCTAGAATCAGCGGCTCTTTGTAAAAATTTTGAGAATTGAACGTAATAGTCTCCATATAGTTTTACAACTTTAGGAAGTGGTGTATCGGCAATAAGAAGAGCCAATTTAAGAATTTTTGACATTTTTTTGACCGATGTATGTATGTATGGTGACAAATGTAAGAATGTATGGTATACATCATTTATATATAACAAAAAGGTGTTTGATAAACATACATTTATAGGAAAAACCGTCAAAACTACCATAAATTCGTCATCATCGGTCACCATACCATACTTGTTTTCGTTACCCCCTTTGCTTAAGTATGATAAGTTTGATGCGGAGTGACGATCCCGGCTTCGCTAATCTGCCGACCATGTGATTTTAGTTCGATTTTGTTTTATATTGGATTTTCAGTATGTCAAGGTTCGGTAAATCAAGATCGGACAGCAATCTTTTCGTTCAAAATCATTCGATGTATAGGAGAATTTCAAGAATAATGAAGTCGAAATCAGTTTACTAAGAAACTGCGGGTGTAAATATGCGAGGTGCAATTTTGACAAGAATGAAGATAAAGAAATGAGCGAAATAAATTAATAAATGTTTCTATAAATGCGTAACAAAGAAATGCCAATGTTCAATCTTTTTATTGAGTATTGTAACTCATAGTGAAAACAAAGCATCTTCCTAAAACATGGTTCGGTCCAAGCTCAGGGCTTGGAGCTATGTGCACATCCTCTATATTCTAAACATGAATAAAGTTATTCATCACCGTACAAGATAATAACTTTATCATTAGGTCCTTCACGTATAATAGTAATTTGTTTATAATTGTCATCATAAAGTGCATACCAGAAATTTGGTTTTTTTTCACGTACATTTTTTTTGAATGGTGTCGAAAGTCAATTATAACCCAATGTTTCAATGGAATTCTGTTATATATACCACCATTTTCGAATCATTTTGCGTGTTCCTTCAAATGCCTACCTTTGCGAATAAGCTCAATTCCCCAGCAACAATCTCCATTAACATAAAAATCAAGGAGCTGAATAAAGGACTAACATCAGCGCTTATTGATTCATTAGCAGGGACTACAATTGTAGAAGCGTGATACCATTCCATCTGCCAGCTTCTCTCATATAGTGAATTACATTTATCACCTCTTCCAAGTGATTCAGATAATTTAGATAGGCTCATACGATGAATAGACTTCTCTAAAAATTCTTTAAAGGTAGTAGTAGGATGTCTCGCAGAATCAGCAAACAAGTGGTGAATAAGAATAATTCGCATGATGGGGGCGGTAAACTGTATTTGACTATTAATCTCAACAAAAATACCGGACTTAAGAAATTTCTTGGCAACAGGGTTTGAATCATAATCAATAATAGATGGAGTTTCACAATGACTTTTAAATAACATAAGACAAACAAATTCAGCTTCGTTATTGCTTGGATTCCAGTCAGCGTGAAAAAAAAACCTTGAAAAATTTCGGAAAAAATCCGGTAAAAGATAAAAATTCCGGTATTTATTTTTTTTAACCGGAACTTGTGACCGAAAAATTAAAAAATATTTCCGGTTTTTTTGTATCACTAATAAATGATTATATAAAATATGATAATCTTTTTTTCAAATTTTATCGCATTTTATAATGTCATTATTACAATACGGCTTCGAACTTAAAAGAGTTAGAAGTGATTCACTTCAAAATGATCAAGCTTCTGATAATGAAGATAATCCTAGCAAAGATGC